CGGTTGATTTGGCAACTTTTAGCGATTTTGCCAACTTTGCGTGCGAGTAGCTCGGATTTTCGCGATGCGCGAGCAAAATTTTGATACGCTGCTCTTCTTGCTTGGACGGCATTTTGACAACTGAAGAGTGAATTCCAAAATCAACATAGGAGCAACATTCTACACACACACACCTTCAAAATGAGGGGTGTTCAGGTTTTTTAAATGCAAAATTGAAAGAAATACGTCAAGTTGATATTGACCAAATTTTGACCGTATCACCCTTTAGACGAAGTAGGATGAAAAATTCAAGTCGATATCAGCAAAATTTACTTCTTTAGAAGAACCAGCACACCATCAACGACTGACCATCTGGCGGAGAATAAGGTAAAGAAAGCGTGGCCCTCGAATTCATAACACATTGTCGAAAGTTTAAAAACATACCAGCCTTCTCCAAATCTTGCAAATAGATGACAATCGAAATAACAATCGACAGCAAACCACTGAAACTGTTAGTTAGCGGAGCTTAGCTGGTTTCCGATCCATAGCAGCGATTTTATTCGGCGAAAGAATCAACTCTTGGAAAATTTCATTCAAGCGTACATCCCTGCATCGTTGGATGGTGCACTTCTGTAACCATCCGGAAGAAGGGGATCTTTTTCGGGAACGATTGCACTTCCAGCTGTTCGAAATGCGAAATATTGTAAAACAGTATCGCAAACTATTTGAGTAATTGCTCCCAATCCATCGAGAGAAAACCACCTAGAAGAATCCTGGATCTCACAGCGCAACTATCGAAAGATAAACAAACTTTGACGTTTAACTTTTTGCAGGCAACTTTGCCTCCGTAAATTCTGCCATAAATCTGAACGGGTTAGGATCACGCAAAATGGCTTTAGATAAATACAATTCATCCTGCAAGTTTTCTTCATAAAAGCCATTTTAAAACCTTATTAATTTGTTAAGAAATTTTGAAAGCAAAACAACTTTTTCACAAATGACCCATGAAAATCAACTTTTATACCACCGCCATGTTACAATTAGTTTGCTTGTTTTTTTACAATCTTCGATTTTCAATCAATATTTCCTTAGATATAACTATATTTTGGTAAATTTAGCAATGAGCAAACATTTAAATGCGAAAATAATAAAAAAAAATCTCGGCCAAGCTCGATGTGAAGAATATATTTTTTTTTTTTTCAATGTTAAATAATTAGTCAAATCGACGTTTTACGAGGGTGGACTTAATCTTTTCGATGTTTTCACGTACATTTCACACAAAATTTAATATGGCACTTAAAACTAGGCCACCTAATGAGAAATATTGTAATAAATTTGGATATTCAACAAGATTTTTATACCATCAGTTTCTATTTTACTTATTTTGATAAGATCGGATTCATAAATCCTTTTCTATCTTGATTGATGCTATCCTAGTGGATTCAGCATGCGGCTAGGGGAAATGGCTCGAAAAGGGTTTTTATTGTTGCTGAATAGCTTCTATTGTAGCTTTCAAATGGTTCTCAATGCGTTCGTCATACAACCTTTTGCAGTAAATCAATCTTGAAGAGCTTTCGAGAATACACCCTTCAGAACCTTCTCCAGGGTGGGCCAACTAGACATATTCTAGTCTTAATGAGGTTTTGATGGATGCATTAATGACAAAATAGCCTTGACCAGGGTTTTATGAATGTTGTTTTAAAGTTGCTTTGTAGTATTTCATAAAACTTAAAATGTTACTTGGGAAGTAACATTGCAAGTTTAATCCAGATTTTAAACATTCTTCAAAAGCTAAAATTGTTACTTGGGATGAATGTGTTTATGTGCCACAATGAAACTTTCTAAGGAAGTCGAGAAAATGTCACACATGACAGATGATTTTAGACCGTCGCTTAAATAGTTAAAAAAAAACGCCAAAATACCATTGAAAACTACAAATTAGACTTTATAAAATAGAGTTCTTGAGAGGGCCTTGTAAATATAATATTCAAAACCTTAAATGGCCTGAAAATGACGAGGTAATATTCAACACGCTGAAATAACATTACCAACATCAAAATTGCCCTAAAATCGCCAATATCAATTACATGAAAAAGGCTCTACCACGTTTGGCATAATGTCGTTTGGCATAATGGCCATTTAGTATACAATTATAAAAGAACAGCTCATGTTTCTCCTTTTTAGTATGAGATATCCTTTTTAATTCTGGGGAAGTACAGCCCAAATGGTTAAACATTTTTTTATTGGGTTTAGTAAAGTTTTTTTTTTCAACATTTACACCAAATGGCCATTATTTCAAACGGCAATTATGCCAAATGATGATTATACCAAACGGAGTTATGCCAAACGGCATTATATCAAACAGCATTATGCTAAATGGAACTATTCCAAATGGAGTAGAGCCCATGAAAATTACCTTAAAGAAGCCAAATTAGTATTGAATTGTCAAAATCGTATTAAAAAATGCCAAATAACTCAAACGTGCAAACATATCTTAACCCTCTACAGCCCTGTTTTATTTTCTTCTTTATTCTGCCTGCTTTCTTTCGAAGGTCTGTCAGGGAAATACCCTGTCTGTCTCAAAGTGGCAAAAGTGGTGCCTATTTTTAAAGCTGGTGATGCATCTGATCCTTGCAATTATCGGCCTATTTCCACGCTGTATATTGTCAATAAAAATTTTGAGAAACCGATAGTTAATAGACTCGTATAATTCTTTAACAAATTTAATGTTTTGCATAAATTCCAATACGGGTTTAGGAAAAGAAGTTGTACTTCCGCAGTAATAGTTGAGCTTGTCATTTTTTATTGAATAAAATTGATGATAAATGTATTGCTGGAGGCCTCTTTATAGATTTGAAGAAGGCTTTCGATGCTCTTAATCATACTATTCTTTTGCAAAAATTAGAATGCTGTGGAATACGTGGACTGGCAAATGACATTATTCGTAGTTATTTAAGTGATAGGCAACAGTTTGTGGTACTGAAAGATGCACAGAGCTCGCTCCGGTCAGTAAACCTAGGAGTTCCTCAAGGAAGTAATATTGGGCCTCTCTTATTTCTAATCTACAACGACATTGGAAATTTACCTCTGAAAGGAATAGCCAAATTATTTGCGGACGATACAGCACTTTTTGCCTTAATCATCAAACTTTATCTATTGTTTCTGGCATACTGAGATATTTTGATACAAATTTACTCTCGTTAAACTTATCCAAGACTAAAAATATATGGTGTTCCACTCACCAAGGAAAAAAAATCCTCCGCACAATAGTCCATCAATTGGATCTAAAATAATAGAAAAAGTATCTACTTTTAAATACTTTGGTTTGGTGTTAGATGAAATATTCCATAACTCCTCGAAATCCCTTAAAAGTTCTTCCTGAAATTATGAGCTGTTTTGGGGTTATCTGGGTATCCTCGAAGCGCTCGGAAATTCCCTAATTATAATGAGACTACCAGAATATCTCTAATCATCTTAGAAGGTCTTTGGACTTTCTTGAGGATTACACTGAAAATTAAATTTAGTTTATATAACGAAATCGTTCGTTTGTTTCATGAATACATTCGTTGTTATCTGCAACGAAATAGATTCGTACTTTTTACGAAGCTGGTTTCGTTTAAATTCATAAAATCGTTTGATTCGTAACATTCGTGTATTTTACGAAGCGTTATCTCATTCGTTACGAATGTTTCATAAAACATATACGAATTATTCATGTATTTCAAATAGTACGAAACATTCGTAGACCCATAATAAAACATATACATTGTACGAAATAGAACGCGAAGGCACACGAAACATTTGTGGGTAAATAAAATTGTCTATTTAAGAAATCAATAAAACTTTATTGAATATCTTCATCGTTTTCATTGAGTGCATTTTCAACTCGGAAGATAATTCAAATCAAAGATAGTTTTAGCTTTAGTATTGCCGAAAACCTTGCTTCTTGGCCGATGGAACGTTCCAGGAATTTGATGATACCCGAACCTTCTTCAAGTGCGCAATCATTTCATGTCAAAATCCATCGCACCTTCGCAGGGGTAATTGAACTCCATATAGTAGTTGGAAATCACGCAAACGTTTTGTTTCGTCTGGGAAACGATCTTCAGGCAACGTCGAGGAAACAGAAGAGAAAATTAGTTCCAACAGGAATCACAAAAAGTTTGGTAAATTACTCACCCCATCATCCGTCATGTTGTCCACCCTCAGAAAAAAAAAATCTGTTTGAATCCTCCAAGATGTGCCCTCCGTTGTTGGAGATGACGGTGAGCTTTTTATTACACTGCAGGTGCTGTGTATGTAGATGATGCTCGATGCCGGGGATCGTGTCCAATAAATTCCACAGTCACAATCCAGCATGATGGTCTCTCACAAATCCATAAACATTCGCTTTTCTTAACGATATTAAAAATCTCACTGACAAATAATAACAAGTTCTACTGACTGTCATTCTCATTTTGTACCACAAACGAATCCAGTTCGTACATCAAAGAATAGTTTCGTAATATTCACGAATGTCGCGCGTGCAATAGCTTGTATGCACGAATATTTTTCGTAGGTGCACAAATTGTTGCACGAATTATTTTCATATGCATTGCATACGTCCGTACGAAGTACCGTTCTTGTATTGTACGAATCATGCATAATGTTGGTATTGAGCCTAGTGACATGGAATACGAATGTTTCGCACTATTAACGAAAAATTTGTTTCATCAACGAAATCAGTTTTTACGAAATGAGTGTGAATAAATTAACGAAAATATATTTTCAGTGTACGAAATCTCTTAAAAGTTCTTACAATTTTCTTGAATTTATTGTAACATCAGCATTGAAGTTCACTGATCTTCTCGATTTGTTTAATTTTTAAAAGTTATCGAGAACCGCAATTGTATTCTACTCTCCAACTTTACACCAACACATCACACAGTATTCTTCCATGACGTGGCTTGTGTAAATTGCAGTCTTGCTTATTTATTTACGATACGCTAAAAACCCGAACATGCATCCTAACCTCATCTTACCGATCGCACATTATGATCACAACACTCGGTATCCAAATAATTTAATTCGTTCGAGGGCATTTACATACCTTGGTCAAATACGAATCTCCTTTTATGGTCTATCTGTATATGTATAACGTACTTCCGGAACGCTTGAAAACTTTGAACAATCGATTATTATTTAAAACCAGTTTAAAGCAATATTACAAATCAAAAATCAAGTCCCGCTTCAGATACTCAATGTGGGATCTCCTGGGTGCATTTGGAATCGAACCAGACCCCAAAATATTTGAAGGACATAGAATGAGTGATCGATTTGCCTTAAAGTTGAAGCTTTGGCTGTGCTGGACTCTGCTTCCTAGAATAAACGACTAACTCAGTTTTCTCCGGGGAGAATTAGATAGCAGGATGAATAGCCCAAGTAGACAAATTGTGTAAGGTCAACCCCTTTGGACACTACGCCGTCATCTGCAAGTTGTCACAACGTGCGGTTGTCACTAAGACAACTATCAATTTCATTTGATAATAAGACGGTGAACAGTTTAGTTTAGAATTTACTTACCAATCGGTGCGTGTGTAACGTTTGATAATTGCTTGCTGGACTAGAAGTTTGTTTTTGTGGTTAAGTAGTTCAGATGAACAAGGACTGACGTGTGAATTTTTACTGCGTGTTTTTCTTCCGCTGATTCATCGATTTTTAATTTAATGTTTGTAATGCTAGTATAGTGTCGCGAAGCTTTTAAATCAATGTTGAAAAGTGCATAACAGATACGCGTGTGAATTGTGTGCTAGATGAGTGGGACTCAAAGCTCTTGCCGGGTAGCATGATCAGCTGACTTGTGGGGCACGAAGCAGAGGACTACCAATATGAATGTTTTGTTTAGTTCCGCTAAGTTTCCCGAAATGTGCAGCCACTGGGGATCGTCAAAAGCCTGGAGTATGGGGATTTGAAAGGATCCTCCATGTAACATGACGGAAGAAGCAAACAAAGATAATTTTACTTCTTTTCGAGGGATCTATCATTTGATGTCACCCGAGTAACCATAGGCACGTTATTTCGCCTTTTTGGTTTTATGCGGGCCTCATCGGAACTTACAAAAACTGATAAAGTTCAGCTGTGCCTATGGTTACTTGGGCAGTTTATAGTCATGAGTACGTGCGTGCGTGCAATCTCATTGTTCTCAAATCAAAAGAAGCGTTCCTAGCGAACTCGCTTTTTCTACCTCCATCCGTAGGACGAAGAAAATCCATTAGCGTTTCAATGCGTTTCGACGGAATTGAAACTCGTAGGACGAATTTGGAATCAAGAAGCAGTGTTAGATTTTTAACAATATCTCAACAATGTCAACGGTACTTATGGAAAGGGGAATAAATTTAGAAGTCATATTTGGTCGAAACATTTCATTTTTTGTTAATACCCGTTCAATAAAGAGAAGTAAAGCGTAGGTTGTGCTTAGTAGGACGAAAATTAGATCAAAACCCCTATCTTGATTGAGCTTAAATTACAACCAATTGTTTTTTAGCTAGAAAAAACTGCTTGAATTTCAATTTATTTATAGTTTGAAATAATTCGATAAAAGTTGGCCAGCTATTTAGTAAAAGTTCCCTGCTCTTTCTGACCACGCTTATGTGATGGATGCTTGATAGTTGAATAACGCGTTTTTGTATGCTACGGAAATGTTTAGCATGATTACGAAAAACAAGATCGATAATCTAATCCAGATATTTCACTTGGTTTGACCAGGAAATTGGAACTCCGTTCATAGTGACTATGTGACTACTACAAGGTTTCAAAAAGGTGAAGTTGCTAGCAAAGGATAGGGGAAAAATGAAGTAAAAAGCTGAGGAAATTTATAAGGAAAGTGATTGTGCGATTTCGGATGGGGTAGGTCATCATCAAAAGGAAGTTCGTTGGTAGAGTTAAAATAACAATTCCTATTATCTAAAATAATTAAAATTTGGATGCAGAGTGAAAGAATTGGAACATTACTGTAAATCATATATTTTAAAATATTATATTATATATTGGGTTGGGAAGGGGCAGCCTAAGGGAATCAAAGGATTTGTTGACTGGACGAGGGTTCGTGGATTTGCCAGTCCCTTTTCACGTGATTACAAATGACTATCTGGTCGTTTTGTCTTCCAAAGGTCTTCAATGAAGCTGATTCACCCTGCTGCAACAAACCATCAGGCAGAACTTTACAACCGGTAAAGTATCTGCAGACATTGGTAATCCTTGCACTGATGGTGAGTTCCATTCACATCACATCACATCACATCACATTACAAATCAAAAATCAAATTAGTAAACTACTTTTATAAGAATTGTACTTATTATTATTATTATCATTGTAATATTCCTATTAAGCTGTATGTATTAATATTTTGAATCATTTGTGAGCAAGGGATCCATTTAAAGATAGCTCATCACATATACCTCAAAATATCAGCATATGTTACTATTCCTTCTAATTCTTATATTTGTTTTAAAATTTTTATCTAAACGAGGAGTCCATTACCAGGGGCTCTTGGTGCGAGCTCTTTGGTGCGGGGGTGAGTTGGTGGGCATCAAAAAAATAAGGCAATGGTATTTTGAATGATCTTGATCAATTTATAGTTTTTTAGTAGTTTTTTTTTATAAAAATAAATGTTTCAACTTTTCAATTTTCTTATTGCACCACTTAAACAAAACCAGTTGGTCATCAAAACTAGAACAAATGAGCCAAACTTTAATCAGATATCAAAAAAAATCTGCTCAGTCTAAATGTTATTACGATGGAATTTTTATTTTGATGTTTAGAGCATTTTTTGAATGGTTTGTTATGAGAACCATATAAAATAAATCCTTTTAATGTGTCGAACCTCTTAACGGAATCCCTTTATGAAGAGCTTTGGGTGGGTTGGTTTATTTCCTTTAAATTCCGTTATAATTGCTTATCTTTTGACAGATACGCGTATTTCGTCTACTACTTGCAGGTTTCATCAGTGCCAAGTACTCAACACCAGGGTTGCTTCCACTCACTTGCTATAAAACAATGGTTTTCTAAATTATGAGATCATTAGATGATATAATGATATGCTGTATTTGTAAGTAACAAGAAAAGGGTGTAAAGGATGTGATTGACTCAAAAAACCTGTCAATTTTGCTTTCAGATGGTCACAATTGGCGATCTTATGATTCGCGAGCGTTCACTCTGAGTGAGCGCTCACGAATCGTTAAATCGCTTATTTTGACGCACTGAAAGCAATATTGACAGGTTTAATGTGTCAAACACATACTTCACGAGCTCTTCTTGTAACTTACAAATACTAATTATCATTGTCACATCTAATGTGTTCATAACTCGAAAACACAATTTTTTAAAGCAAGTGAGTGGAAGTAACCCTGCTCAACACCACAGTGGTGTGCAACGAACCGGATGATAGTCAGGATCTGGGAAACAGAACAGCTACCGGAGGAGTGGAAGAAGGGGGTAATCTGCCCCATTCACAAGAAAGGCGACCATTTGGAATGTGAGAACTTCAGAGCGATCACCATTTTGAATGCCGCCTACAAAGTGCTATCCCAGATCATCTTCCGTCGTCTATCACCTAAAATGACCGAGTTCGTGGGAAGTTATCAAGCCGGCTTCATTGACGGCCGATCGACAACGGACCAGATCTTCACCGTACGGCAAATCTTCCAGAAATGCCGTGAATACCAGGTCCCAACGCATCATTTGTTCATCGACGGCATACGACAGTATCGACCGCTCAGAGCTATGGAAAATCATGGACGAGAACGGCTTTCCTGGGAAGCTGATCAGACTGATCAAAGCAACGATAGACGGTGTGCAAAACTGCGTAAGGGTTTCGGGTGAACTATCCAGTTTATTCGAATCTCGCCGGGGACTGCGACAAGGTGACGGACTCTCATGCCTACTCTTCAACATTGCTCTAGAAGGTGTAATGCGACGAGCCGGGCTCAACAGCCGGGGTACGATTTTCACGAAATCCGGTCAATTTGTGTGCTTTGCGGACGACATGGACACCCGACTGAAACACGAAGCAGCAAAGGTCGGACTGGTGGTGAGTGCGTCAAAAACAAAGTACATGCTAGTAGGCGGAACCGAACATGACAGGATTCGTCTAGGAAGTAATCTCACGATAGACGGGGATACTTTCGAGGTAGTGGAGGAATTCGTTTACCATGACAACAATGTGAGTCGTGAAATACGAAGGCGCATCATCAGTGGAAGTCGTGCCTACTACTGGCTCCAGAAGAAACTACGGTCAAAAAAGATTCACCCCCGCACCAAATGTACCATGTACAGAACGCTAATAAGACCGGTGGTCCTCTATGGACACGAGACATGGACTATGCTCGAGGAGGACCTGCAAGCACTCGGAGTTTTCGAGCGACGTGTGCTAAGGACGATCTTCGGCGGTGTGCAGGAGAACGGTGAGTGGCGGCGAAGAATGAACCACGAACTCGCTGCACTCTACGGCGAACCCAGCATCCAGAAGGTGGCCAAAGTCGGAAGGATGCGGTGGGCAGGGCATGTTGCAAGAATGCCGGACAACAACCCTGCAAAGTTAGTGTTCGCTACTGATCCGGTTGGCACAAGAAGGCGTGGAGCGCAGAGAGCACGATGGGCGGACCAGGTAGAGCGTGATCTAGCGAGCATTGGCCATGACCGAGGATGGAGAACGGCAGCCGCAAACCGAGTATTGTGGCGTACTATTGTTGATTATGTCTTATCTTAAATGTGATGTTGTACAAATAAATGTATGTGAGTAGTGTTGAGTACTTGGCACTGATGAAGTCTGCAAGTAGTAGACGAAATACGCGTATCTGTCAAAAGATAAGCAATTATAACGGAATTTAAAGGAAATAAACCAACCCACTCAAAGCTCTTAACATATAAAATATTTTTACAACATAACTATACAGAACTTTTGTAATCGATTTACTCCAAAAGTTCTTATAAATGGCAGATAAATGGTTCATATAATATTTGTTAAAACAAAATTTCCCCCAAACCTTGAAATT